CTGTGCTGTGTTTAAGTCAGTACATCAGATATACATATCCGTATCAGTATAATATTTTTGCATTTACACTAGTTCAGTTTTTGTGTTTAAAAAGTAGATCAGGTAAGAGAATTATTGTTTTTACATCAATTTTACTTACTTATATCATTGAAAAGGATTCCGTTGTGACAATAGTGACTCGAATCAAAAAGAAGAATTTGCATGAAGTGGGCTTGTGTGTGATAGATAGTTATTTAGGTAATATTGGATTACTGTTACGTTCTGTGTGTGATAGACAGAGATGCTTAGAAAATATTTGCATTTGCCTACTTTTGCGTTCGTTATTTTTTGCTTTATTTTTTACTAAATTCATATATGTTGAAATAGAGACAATACAATGACAAGTTAATTAAGGAAGGGCATCTGTCAGAACGGCTGCTAGCTGTCATTTGGACAGATATTCATTATCCATTTACTAGCACATGAGCCCGGCGTGGCTCGAGCAAAAAGTAACGATAGCAAAGATTAAGATAATTAGCTTATAGTTGATTTTATTCGTTTTCACAGGGTGCAAGAACTAGGTCTCCCTCTTCCGAGATTAATTAGAGAAGTTTAACATGGTCTAAAAATATGTTGGATTTTTTGCAAAAACGCAAGAAACCGCATCTAAAATAGTACAGTAAAGCCGAGTTCTTTAAGATAATCCTTAACCCTCTCACTCTCCTTAGCGGGGATGATTTCCAAAAATTTCTTTTTAGTGTGCATTCTCATGATGTACCTTACTAAAACGCAGTTAAAAACAAAAAGTTAAAATAGTACAGTAGAAGCCGTTCTTCAGGTTAAGCCTTAATCCTCTACCTCTTCGTCATGGGGAAAATTTCGAAAAATCCATTCTTAGTATACATTCTCATGACGTCTCTAACCGTGTATCAAATTTTAACGATAGAAATGAGTTGCAAATCTTACTAGCTTTGCAACTCATTTTTATCGTTATTTTATCTACCCTATTTTAATAGCATGATAAGCATATACATTCATTTTTAATGACCCTCTCCGGTCTTTGCAAAGGACTGTGAATGTTTATTTAACATTTTTATTACGGTATGGAAAAGAAAAGTAAAAAATTGTCTGGAAATACAAAAAGAAACGCTTAAAAGATAAGGGAAGAAGGAAAAAAGCTAAGTGAAAAGTTACAGACAAACTGGATATGATCAGATGAAAATTGCTGCTAATGAGATTGCAGAGAATTTTGAATGCAGTACAGAATTTCCTGCCGAAACTGAAGTTAGAGCCAGAAGGAAAAAGCATCAATTTGACTACGAAGAAACTGTCGATGAACCCTTAACAGAAGAGAGTAAATTTTCCAATTATATTCTGGACATTACCCTTAATTCTCTGAATGAACGATTTACGCTTCTGGAAACCCATAGCAAAAATTTTCAGTTTTTATATAATAGGAATTTAGTTCGCAGTTCGTTAAGATGTTTTTTCTCCTGTAGTGAGCTTGTTCTGTTTTCGATTTTTTTTTATACTCCATGATGAATATGTTTTCTTTTATGTACAGTGGGATGTTTGAATTGTAGTCTAACACATTTCTAATCTCGCATGGTTTTGTGTATGGCTCGAATTCAATCTTCATTGCCTCTCTCGTTAATTTCTATTTTAGTTAGTATATCGTCTAAACTTATTATGAAATTATTATAATTAATGTTTGTTGGACCATTAAAGTTTAAACCGTTGATTAAAAAATTATTAACAAAATTAGGGATTATGCAAGTACTTTGGTTTACAACTGACATTTGTTCCCAGTTTTTTCATTCGTTTATAGTTGGGTAATTTAGTTTTTTAACTAATTTATTATATCTTCTACGAGTATATGGGTTATCGTAGTCGATTTCATAAGTGTGTTTACCTTTAACTTTTTTGATTTTAGATTTGAGTTTCTTTAATTTTGTATCTTTCAAAATTAATTGTCGATTATAAAATTAACTTATTTACTTTTTTAAAGTCATGGTTTTGCATTGTTGATGATATGAATTTAGGTAAGGTTAGTGTTGGAAGTTCTAATTTCTATAATAAAATAATGTTTAGATACCAGACATCTGTTATTAATTTGTTTAGTTCTTCCTCCATCTTTTTGGTGTTCGTTGGATCTTGGCATTGTTTGTTTTCAACGGCAACTTTATGCTAAGAAAACATATATAGTAAGAAGAACAGGAAACAACCAAGAGCTGGGCTGTGCGATAGATTTTCTCAGTTGATCAAGTCTTCGAAATGCCACCCCTTAAATGTTTTTTCTTTAAAATAACCTTCGATTGTGATATTTAAAAAAAAAAAAACTGCTCAAAATGTACGAATACTATTTTTATTTTGAAATTATAAACAACTACTAAATAATTTCGATGTCAACTATCATCTACAACAATCTCTTATAGTTTTACTCTTCTAACTTTAGAAATTCGTTAATTATGGATATGTATTTTACAGTGGCAGCCAATGTAGATTCAATAAAAATTCATGATAGATTTTAAGTTCAGTTTGGCTTATTGAACTTCTTAAGTAGTGTTTTATCAATTTTAATTTGGAAAAACTTCTTTCCTCATTAGCTACAGAGACGGGGTGTGTTAATAAAATTCTCATAGCTACAACAGTATTTTGGCACAAATTATTTAAAACATCCAAAGGTTTCATAGAATATGCTAGCATTCGGGATATATCACGCAATTTTTCTTGAAGATCCTTTGCATTTATAACTGATTCATTTTCGACCGAAAGTATTGACTGGAGACTGGTACAATAATTTTCTAGCGTTTTTTTTTCATCTAAATCCTTGAGTTTTAAAATTTTATCCCCTTAACGACCATTGCAATAAAAAAGGCGTTTTTTGAAAGCCCACTCATTTTTATTTCTTAAAAAAATTCTTCATTTCAATTGAAAAAAGTGGTTTTTTCGATTTTTCAAATTTGGCAAAAACTGGTTCCTAAATGGCAGCTTTCCCTCTGGATAGCCAACTTTACAGGGGCTACCTGCAGCCTGCAATGGTGGCTTTCCTGCATGATTCGTTAGCGCGCAGGAAAGATGCCATTCGTCGGTTAGCTTTAAAAATAATTTAAAAACAAAAACATGACAAAACATAAAATAAAAATAAATTTATTGATTTAAAAACATATATTAAATGATTACAATAATAAAATACAATATTATTTACACCATTGAAAAATAATAATGTGATATAAAGTAATACATTTACGCATAAATAAATACTATAAAATAAGTGAATAAAAATTAAAATTACACAATTATTAATAAAAATATATATTTATATATTATTTAAAGTTAAAAGTAAGAAAGGTATCAAAAAATAGTTTAACATAATGATGAAATATTGATGTAAAATTTTTACATGAAATTCTGTTAAAAATAAGAGTAAATTTTTAAAAAATTTTTCCACTGTGTGGTATATTTGGAAACAGGGTGCTGCACACAAAGGCACATCGCAATCATTGCAATTGTACCTCGTCTCTTTTCTTATTTTTTCCCTGCACCGTCATGCTTAGTTTTGCATACGACACAGCGTCTAGTGGGAGCTTTTTTTCTGTCCGTCGCCGGAAGAAGGACCGGGAAATGTCTTTCCGTAAGTCTAAGTGGACCTGGAATTCTCGGACCTGAAGTTCTCGGCTGACCATATCTGGTAACCCTCGTTTCGGTGTGATATTTTTGAACAATTGTTTCTATANCCGGGAAATGTCTTTCCGTAAGTCTAAGTGGACCTGGAATTCTCGGACCTGAAGTTCTCGGCTGACCATATCTGGTAACCCTCGTTTCGGTGTGATATTTTTGAACAATTGTTTCTATAACATTAACCCGAAATTCCAAATGTTCCATAGTGCCACCATTTTTTTATATAAAACAAAAGGATTATACATACAAATATCCGATAAATGAAAAAATACTTTTTTGTAAAATTTCTTCCCTCTTTTTCTCGCCACTGGATAATCTCGAAAGATGCTGATCTAAAACGTCAACACCTCCCATTGTGTCGTTATAGTCGACAACAACCTGTGGCTTTATAACTATTCTACCGGCATGAGTTTCTTTGCTTACCATTGCTGGGTTGTGGACCGTAGAGAGTAAAGTGACGGCTCTTTTGTCTTGCCACTTCATAATCATCACTTTACCTCTCTGCATCGCCACTGTTTCTCCCTTTTTCAATTTTTTATTTTTAACCTCAGCCGGGACCTGTTGTCTGGTCGTCCGCACAGTTCCAAAGAAATCCGTTTGGACCGTAACCAGATAATCGACTAAATGTGGAGAAGAATAAAAATTATCTGTTCTTAGACAATAGCCCTTGCCTAACAACGAGTCCGCTAATGATAATACAATTTTTGATGTAACAGGCATATCTTTATATTTTTCGTTGAAAACTGTGTTTTTTCTGGTATAAATTATAAAATTACACAACTAGCCAGATGAGGACTCGCATAACATGTAGAATTTCACACCGAAACGAGACCGTTTGAGAGGCATGTATTGTCTCCACGAAAGACGTCCTTTGAATAGCATCAAACTCTCATCCACCACTATATCTCTTTCTGGAACATACAGACGCGAAAAATTTTGATCGTAAATTTTCAACTATTGGCCAAATTTTATTCAGTTTAGGGTTTGGATGAGTTCGCGGATTATAATTTTGATTATTACTAAAATGCAAATTTTGTTTTATTTCCAAAAAACGATTTCTTGACATTAATCTTCGAAAAATTGGAGTGAAAAGTGTTTCGTTCGTGGTCCAATACATCCTCTCATCCGGTTTATGAATTATTCCTTGCAGTAATATGACAAAATACATGAACATTTCCTCTATGGAAACAGGATTCCACTGGCTCCTGGATGTCTGTGGTTTCGTTACGGCGTACCTATTCGTATCTGAAGTAATATCGTTCACAAACTCTTTATCAAAAAATAATTTGAAGTACTCTAACGGTTCAGTTACTTCAATTCTAGAAAACCGACATCCAGGAGTTCCAGTGAATGGAAACCGTGGAGGAGGCGTTGGAAAAGTAATGGCGTCAGCATCACACCACGTTCTAGCGGCATCTGTTCCTGAATCGTCCGAACTGCTAGAATCGTCTATGCTTGGTATATAACTTTCTGATCCGCATTCAGAGAGCGCCATGTAACTATCGTCACTATCAGACATTCTACAAATAAAGAAAATATTCTAAAAACCTGTCTTATTTTTCTGTTATACGCTAAAAATTACACAATATTCTCCAGAATAAATAGAATTATCATAAACTTACTTGATAAAATTAGATGAAAAACTGGACTCCAACAATAATAGGAGAAAAGATTGTCAATGAAGTCTGGAAATAAGCAAAATAATCTAAACACCCGTCTTATTTTTTTTGTTATGCGCTAAAAATTGGATAATATTCTCCAGAATAAATAGAATTATAATAAACTTACTGGATATAACGGAACAATTGGCTGACAGATATCCAAAAAACAACAAAACTGCAGGCACAAAATTAAAGCACTACTTGATACAGCAAGATCAAGACTAAGAATGAGATATTCTACAATTATTCAAAGAAAATAGAGTCATAAATTCTTGAAACAAACTTGTAAATAGGTATATAGGTAAATATAGATAATATATAGGTAAATAAATTTATAGAAATATGAATAGCATATTTTCTTTTACTAAAATATTTCTGCTATAATATGCGTGAAACATTTTACGAAAAAACTACCACAAAAAATCAAAATAATTTATAATACACCATTTTATAAAATAAATTTATAAAAAACGTTAGCATAAAACTTTATTTATTTTATTATGTATTATTTAGAAACTTATTATTTTTCATGTAACACAATACTGGCAAAGAGACACATGATACAAGCTTCAGTACAGATACACAGCTGGATGACCTTGAGAACAGCTGATTGTAAACTTTCGCGGGTTGTTCCCAACAACAGCATGAGGGGAAGTAGGTTTTCTACACGTCTGAGCTAGTTACTGCAAATACTGTACTCGATTGTATTACGTTATTTTCTGATAATTTTTTTTATTTTCTTGTTATTACTTGTATTACATGCTAAGCTTAACCTCATTAACCTAACATTTTGTTTTTTGTGCTTTACAGGAAAAACTCCTACAAAAAATTAAAAAAACTTTTAATACACCAATTTATGAAATACATTTCTAAAAAATTTTAGCATAAAACTTAATTTTCTTTATTAGGTATTATGTAGAAACGAATTATCTTTCACATAAGAAAAAGTCGCGACGGATCACGTGATACGCGCTGCAGTTCGGTGTACTTAGCTTAATATCCTTGAGAACAGCTGTTGATAGCCATTCGCGGGATGTTGTCATACAAATCGCAGGGGAAGACAGATTTCTAGACAGGTGTGCATCAGTTACTGTAAACGTTGAAATATATCACAAAATTTTCGATCATGTATACTCTTTCAATAGGCGGGAAACGCAAAAATTGTCCAAAATATAAACTTTTATTAGGTGTATGATTTCAAAACATTCTGATGTCATAAACAACATCAAATAGAATGTAAAATAAGCTTTGCCTGAGTTACCTCATCCATAGGCAGAATAAAATTTTGAAAACTTGACGAGTTAACTGGTAACTGGTCAATGGGCATACCAATTGCGTCACGCTTGACGTTAAACAATATTTGGACAAATGTATAAGTGCTTCTGTAGTTTGTGTTAGAGCCAAATGGGTTTCTTTCGTCAATGAGCCTTTCGGATAACTTATATTCATTTTCTTCCATTTTTCTAGCCATTGTAACGTTTCTTTAAGTTTAAGATATACAATTTTGATGTCGGCTACATAATCTGTTATGGGACACATGAAATCATTTAATCTATTTTCTTTGCCAGGTGTTTTAACATCAACAATTTCCCACCATTTTACAAAGATGTTGATGTAAACAGCTGTTTCTCTATATTGAGGAAGCAAATGATTAGGGCCTAGAGTTAGAAGAGACGCTGAAGTGAGATCATTGAAAATTTGCAATACCAGTTTCACATTTTGTTTTTCAAAAGCATCGAGATTCAAAGCCTTTAATGAAAGACCATGGCCATACTTTGCCAATTTATCATGTTCGAGATCAT